TAAATGCGGACGGCACGCCGCACGTCCAACTTGTGCCATTCATGCTCTCTAGGGTGAGAAGGGTTAGGACAAAAGTTAGGCAATATAATCTCTTATAATTTTAGGGGTAAATGAAGGATCGAGTCGTATGACCTTGTCAGAGATGTTCTGTTTCCTCAGGAGGTCCCCCTCAAGTGCCAGACGGCTAGTTGTAGCCACTGGGGGTCTGGATGACTGATGGCCCCCTGACTGAGGGAGACTTGATCCTGAGGAATTCACCACGGTCTCTGAACGGAGAGACTGACAAGATCTGCGTACCAGGACCTCCTTGGCCAGAACGGTGCCACCAGAAGAATTTCTGCCCATTAGGTCAGGAGTTTGGCCACTACCTGAGGGATGAGGGGCAGAGGAGAGAATGCGTATAAGAGTTACCGGGGCCACTCGCACATCAGTGCGTTTGTCCCTTCCGCCAACGGTGATTGGTAGTGGCTAAAGAATCGTGGCAGTTGTATGTTGGAATGTGTGGCAACGAGGTCTACTTGCAGTTTGCCGAATTTCCTCACGATCTGTTGGATCAGGTCCAGGTGTAGGCGCCACTCCGAGTGATCAATGCGCTGTCGGCTCAGCCAGTCTGCCTCCCGATTGCTGGTTCCGGAGATGTGATCTGCTCTGAGAGAAGCCAGATGTCGCTCCGCCCACCTGCCCAGAGCCTCTGCCTCAAGGATGAGCCCCCTTGAATGGGTACCGCCCTGCCGGTTTATGTGGGCTTTTGTTGCCACATTGTCTGTCCTTAACAGTACATGTCTTCCCTTTATCAGACATGCAAAGCGGCGTAGCGCGAGTCAGGCTGCCCTCAGCTCTAGCCAGTTGATGCTGTGGGCAGCCTCCCTCTGAGACCACTGGCCCTGGGCAAGCTGACACTGACAGTGGGCCTCCCATCCCATAAGGCTGGCGTCTGTGGTCACAATGACCCTTTCTGGTTCTTTGAACAGACAGCCCTTCACGACCGCCTTGGACCTCCACCAGACCAGGGATCGGGTCACCATCTGCAGGAGGCGCACGGGCCTGTGGGAGTTGCTGCTTTTCGCTCTCTGCATTGGAAGGAGAAACCATTGCAGTTCCCTGGCATGCAGCCGGGCCCAGGGAACTCGCTCAGCTCCTCTATCAGGGAGGAAAGGGACTCCTTCCAGAGCATCTTGCCCGAGGAAGGGGATTCCAGCTCAGGCAGGGCTAGGCGCCATGGGCACACCAGCAAACATCGCCTGAGGGAAGGCAAGAGCCCAGCACTGTCAGCTGAAATGAGGGAGGTGATCTCTCTGGCCATCTCCCAGGGGATTGCGGAGGGAGTCAAACTATTTTCCAAGGCACCTGAGGGTAGAACAAGAAGCAATGGGTGGAAACTAATCAAGGAGAGAAGCAACGTAGAACTGAGGAGAAATTTCCTGACAGTTAGAACAATTAATCAGAGGAACAGCCTGGCTCCAGAAGTTGTCAATGCCCCAACACTGGAAGTCTTTAAGAAGATGTTGGATAGCCATTTGTCTGAAACGGTATAGGGTTTCCTGCT